CGATAATATTGTACCAAATAACTGTTAATGCTTTGAAATTAGGACATTCAGTCTAGATAATTTAACACTACCAAAACACTATTATACTGGAATTAAGTACTTAAAAATCTAGGGTTTTGATCTATAATTCATAGTTTTACATATCCAGTTTATTTACATGACAGGTTTTAAGGAGAGTAAAAACAAAGATTGTTACGAAACTGTATGAATTCATTATATCTTCCTAAATTCTTATCAACTGCTTACAACTTGTTCAATATTTTAAAATCAAAGTAACCATAGAAATCAACATACTTATAAATATGAAGGTGATTAAAAGGAGTATGCTACATTTACGTGACAATATCGATTTTAAAATATCAAATAGGTTGTAAGCAGTCGATGAGAATCTAGCGAAATAACTTAATTAATTCATATTATTCTGCATTAATCTTTATTTTGCTCTTATCAAGATGATAAAGAGATTAATGTGTATGATATAACATGTTTGCTATGTATTACAGTCCTATTCTTATCCTTTTTCTTTTATTTATCTGTTCATTTCAGCAACTGATCAAGTAGTATCTGCGTATATAACAAGCTTTTTGCATCAAATTAAAAATAATAATAAAGAAAATGACTACGGAACTTTGTAAAGAAATGAAACGTAATCAGTACATAGAGAATCATGAACTCTATTCAAATCCTTATCAACATAATTCAACAGGAAATAATCCGTACAATTCAGAAATCTATAGTAAAGTAGATCATGAACGAAATGTACTTCACCCTCATCTCCATGCACCATTATCCTATGTAGTTCATAATCCACATGCAATTAGATTAAAACGCAGTTGTCACAATACAAAATGTCGTTATTGTTTCCCAAATGCTTCTAATAATAATCCATTTGATTTGGAAAGTCATTCATCATCTAGTGAATCAGCTTCACAGATAATGACTAGAAGTGCTTTAAATAATCATAGTAATTATAAGAAATTTATTAGTCTAAACAAAAGACCAACGTGTATAATACATGAAGAAATTACAGTAGATGACAGTCGACAAGATGTGATAAACGGAGGACAAGTGAAGATAAAACAAGAGGATGAAATTCCAGTGTTTAAAGAAGTTCGAACTAGTACACCATTAGTGAATCACACTACATTACCAAATAGAATCAATAATTATATTCCTAATTTGATAAAAAATAATTACCATCTAGAAGATCATCAAGAAGTATACTGGTCGGAGCAAGAAACTCCGTTTACAGTCTACAGTAATGCCAGTATAAATAATAATAGTAATCATAATAGTACTGTGGTTACAGGTAGACAAGCTGGTCTATTCAATCAAAAAAACCGTGAGTTGGACTTTTTCGGGTATATATTTTAGATATTTGTTTAAGAGATCATCATTGAACAGACTGAACAATTAATTTGATTTTCAACTTGATCTGCAATAATGACGAAATTTACAGGCACTTCTTTAATTGACGAACCTATCAAAGTTCATTATGATTCCCCAACAAATTTTCTAGCGGACTTCCACGTATTATTTTGTGATTGTATCGTTCTCCGTTCTACTTCCCCATTCAAATTGATCAATAATTCTGAATATCACTAAATGGAATCATCAACAAAGTTAATATTATCACCTGCATTATCAAGATAGTTCAGTCATTCATTTATCTGGAGAAAGAAATGAAATCAACGAAGCAACTATGACCAGCTTAATATCTTTAAAATTATGGACAGAAAGAGAAGTTCATAGAGTTAAGGAAGAAAAATGAAGAATTCTTCTCACTTTAACTTAATGCATACTTTATGCCACTGACCCTCTAATCCTATGTTTGCATTTAAAATTGTCTTCACTATTTTCCTTCATTCAAATTTATGTTAATAATTTTAGAGCTTTTTCTGCAATTCACTCAGCACATAATCATAAAGTTGAAATGTTTAAAAATACCGTTGGATGACCGGCTCAGTGGTCTAAAGGTTAAGCGTTTACACGCGAGACCGAAGGTCCTGGGTTCGAGTCGAGCGTGTGGAGTTGTGGATGCACACGGTTGAAAAGTCCCATACTAGGATGAAACGGCCATTAAGTGTTTCAAAGTTCTCAATGGTTGTCTAGCTAAGATCGACTCACTGATTCAACTGTTGAAATTACAAAATAAACATTATATGTTTATCGTATTCATTCACATAAATAATGAAATATTAGATTGTTACACAGTTGATGAAGAATTTCAATACTCAATCTACATAAATTTTTATATAGATTTAGAAACAAAAATTAAAATGGTTCAGTGGATAATATTACGTTAAAAGTTAACTGTTAAACCTGAACATTAAGCAATCGTAACCTTAAACATCCTCAATGCTTTAATATATTCGTGTAAGCTAGGGTACATAAATTTAAATTCCTGTTTCAAATTAATTTTCGATGTCGGAATTCTTCTAGAAAATATACCGACATTAGGATAGAATTGGGTATACCAACAACTACAAACAATCCATAATTTTTATAATTCTGCTACTCTGACTCCAATTATTTGATTATTTACTTATTTATTTCAAGTTTTGGCAATTAAAAAGTAGGGTAATATTGTTTTAAGGCTAAAAATCGTATGCTCAAAGATAAAAAGACTATATAGTCGATTATTGGACGAACAAGAATCGCGTTTACTGGCAATCCACTTCAATTATGATGAAGCGAGGATTGCATCTTGCTCTACAAAAAATGTAACAGAAAGCTGCCACAGGAACGTTATTGATTTTCATTTCAAGATACCTTGTCATGAGTCTAGCTATTGAGTTGCACAATTTTTAGGATTCCATTCACTTTAGGAAGAACCAACTGCTACCGCTTCAATACAACTATCTTTCAATTCACAGTACAATATCATATGATGATCATCTCTCCGCCTTTCCACTTAGTCTCAGAGTTGACAAACGCTGTATTAAACATCTAGGGTGACGATACAAAGCAAGTATTTCAAGATGGTAACACCTACTTAATTATCATGATAAAGTTCTGAACTTTATCATCACTTACACGTTACTTCCGTAGAATGTGAGAAATTCTTTAAAACTAATGTCTTCCAATGTCTGCAACATTTTCCAACCTGTTTAACGGTTTCATGAACACTGACTATTCTATGATGTAACATGAAGTCAGATATTGGCAACGGTAGTTACATAGTTGATTAATTGCTGCAACAGTAGTGGTGACAGTAGTAGTAAAGTCGTGAACAAATAATAATATTTCTTTTTGAACTAAATGGTTTACAAAATGGATTGACATCAACTAGAGATCTACTGAGAATCAAACAGCACAATGCTCTTTTTTGTATTTGTCAGTAACGTTCATTTTTAACCCTAAATTGAATCGAAACTAATTAAATTCCAGTCCCTGATTGAATACATCAGTGTTGCCTATTATGTTTACTTACTTCAACAAGTTCACGTTATAGGGACGATTATCTTCGGTTTATACAGTCCATTGTATAAACGATTATTTTCGTCGTTGTATAAGTACTATCTCATTCACGTGAACATATAAATCAATTATCTATTTAGCTAACAGAGTCATACAAAATGAATCAATTGCAACTCCGACAAATACAACGGAAACTTCAATGACGACTAATGTTTCAATAGAGAATGAAATGGTATCTAAGACCACAACCAATAATCTATATAAAAAGGAAGGAAACACATTTTTGCAAAAAATATTTAAAAAACCACAATCAACGATTATTGAAGAAAATAACAAACTGAGACTACGTTTATCCCCCTTAACAAACGGTCCAGAAAATAATCAATCAATTCCATGCACTGAAATAACAACTACACCATATGCTCTAAATATGCATGATTTACAGAAACATACTAATCATAATCATGATCCGGATCGTGATGATTTATCTGTTATTTTTGGTATGAGTTCAGTAAATCAATTAAAAAATCAATCAAGTTATTTAAATCTACCAGGTCGGTCAGTATGTATGGAATTTTAATGGTGCAAAATTTTACATCATAATGCTTTATGTATAATTGCAAATTTAAAACAACAACAACAAGGTGTACTCTCGCTCACATACAAACCCATTATATTTTTAAAATAATAAATGCATCAGTTAGGCCTTTTTTTTCTCAAAAGTTTTGTTTTTCTGACAACAAGCAAATTATCATACCTGTTTTGAGAGACGGGTTAACATTATACTAGTGTGTTTTTTTTACTAGAAATAATTTCCTAACTTATATGTGTGTTGTCATGTGGTGGTAGCTAACCTTTAATATATATTTTTATATATTGGGGAATTCTCTCACAAATAGAAAAGAAACAAATTATCTCCAACCTGTTTAATTAATACTACATGTATAAATAGTTGAATTGAATTCTTTTGTTTCAATCTCACATAAATAATCATGCCTGATCCGATTATCATGAGAAATCGACTGAAAAAAATATCTAAGAATTAATAAATTCATTGAAGTTTATCTACTGTTGTCTGATTAACCATCATGGTCATTACTTTCATGATTCTAAACAAAAAAAGTGCATGTCATTCCACTAATCCGTTTCGTCATCCCTAGATAATGACTATTGATTTCTCACCAGTATTATTTTTTTTCTCATAATTGGTTAGGATGTTCATCTGTTTCATCTTCTGTGTGTTTCTTTGTACAGATTTTGTCATGATCATGGCAATAAAAGTCACACTATCATAACTACCGCATATGATAATTATTATTATTATATTATTATTATTATTGTTTCCACCACAAAATTTACCAATATACGTTGAAATTGTCAAATTAATAGATTGTTTTTATTTCTTTTTCTTTCTTTTCTTCACTACTCAACTGGTTTGTATATACATGTATGTGTATATGTGTGTATATTTGTATTGTGCGTGTTTGTACTGTTTGTATGTACCAATGCTTTTGATTGTATGCATGCATAAATATTTGTGCTTTGGCAATTGTATGTTGTGTGTTATCCAAATATTCTAGCTATTTACAAATCACAAATTATTTCAAATGATGGAAATTTCTCAGCTCCTAAACGTGCAATGAGTCATACAAATGTTTATGGTCCACGATCATGGAATTTACGATCATATCAAGGATCTGGTGAGTTTTTATTCGAACAATAAATTTATAATATACTACAATCTCCACAAAATACCCTTTCTGATAATAATCATCATGTGCTCACTAGTGACTGACTTCAAGAGGAGTTCTAGTGAGAAGCTGTGACCAATGGAGTTCAACCGTGTTTGTTGTGAGACAGTAACTCACTGAAGATAATGGTAGACGGGGCGCAGTTTGGTGGATTGGTTGAAGTTAGAAATTAACACCGTTGGATGCCGGCAAACTGTCAAAAATCCATTAATATTATATAATTACTAAAATGATTACATACTTCAATCAAAAGCGTAATAAGAATGAACAGCTTCATTATCGTTTAATCCTGATTCCTTAACAGTATGAACTTGATCTAACTTAATACCTTTAAAAAAAGATTAATTATGACCTGTGCAGTTCAATTAGTTAATATACGGTGTGAGTTAGTCAGTACTAATGACATCGCATACGAGCTGTGTTATATCGTAAAAATGACTGAACTTTGAAATACTGACGATTGCATTCCAAACTAATAATCTAAAAATTATTTCTTTTTTCGAGGCTTAAGATTTTATGGTTCGACCCCTGGCTCTATATACTGACTAAATGAAGCATCTACTAAATCTCTCAAAAATTTTGATGATGCCCAAGTTGGCGTTATTCTCTAACTTCTAGGAAACCTCCATCGATATAATTTCAATTTTCCTAAAATACTAATTCACTATAGAAAATATTTTATTTTGAAACACTTGACTATTATTCATTTCTTTATAAACATTAAGATATGATGTAGAATAATGAGTTAAATGGATCATTTTATTGGTTATTCAAATAGTCTAAATAGTTTCATTTAGCGTATTTCATTAAAACAAATCTAATATTTACTTGAGTTTATCATTAAAACGTTTCAGAATTGTTTGTCGATTTTAATAATGAAATGATTCATTGAAAATTACCCGGGTTTTGATTAATTACCTCAAACTACCTAAAATTAAATGTCGTTTCCAGAAACCTACAAACTATCTGATGTCTAAATGATATTTGAAAATGAGTAACCATCTGGATCATTCTGAGATATGTATTCGGTTTTCAAAAACAACCTTAATTCGAAATCTGTAGATCACCAATTCAAATACTGTTAAAGAATTTAGCAGAATAACTTTATAATATGTATATAAATAAAGAAAACAATTTTTGCTAAACTGTTTAAAAATCTTTTTGTGTATTATAAACTTTATTTCAGAGTCTGATTTAGCATATAAACGTGAAATGTTATCATCATCATCTTCACGTTTGGCACGTAGTGGTTATTCAGCCAGACGAGAACGTTTGAAACAAGAACGTGAACAAGAATTATTAAGGCAGACAAGATTAAGACAATGGCTGCTTCATCAACTGGACTACATGATCACCGTCATTATCAACAATCTAATGTCCAACAACAACATTACCGTTCGACTTCAGCAGTTAATGTAAGTTAAAACACGTTGATGGATGTTTACAGATATGATGAAAAGTATCTTTTTTCTGTAATCACTATGAACTATGAAGTATATTCCATCTAGGTTTGTTTCATCACACTCCTTACACATAAGCTACTAACGAGACGAATGAAAAGTATTTCTTTATAAAAGGCTTTATTGTTAAGTATCAATCAAACCGTCATTGTCAAAAAACTATCCAGTCAACTTTCATTCATTTGGGCTTATTCACTTTCTTGTTGAAGAACATATATGAATGAAATGGAATCCATGCGGAATATATTGAGACAAATACTAGCGACGACACAGAATGAAGCTGATGTAATATAATCCAAACTAACTGAAATTGAAAACGTAGGGTATTCGAATTTTAACCCAGTGAACCAAGAAGTACCTGACTCCTTTCAAAGCTTGAATTTGAAGAGTTTGATCTCTAAAGAGGCATTAAGTGTACTTTTATGAAAGTTTTAAGCTAGATTAGAAAAATGCTCATTGGTTTAAATTAGTTGTGTATTTAATTCTGTCCTATAATGAAAAGTCACTCCAACTTACTTACAAACATTGTTTTTACTTTTCTCCAATAAATATCACTCAACAGATCATTCAGAATAATGACAAAACTATAAATAACAAGAATTGAGATAGTTATAATGAGGTAAGAGGGTTATACAATACATCTTCTTTACACAGAGATTGGATTTCTTAATGTCAACTCACATATTCTGGAATTCTAAATTCTACATGAGATGTAACGAGACAAACTGGCAACTTATGCGATAATTTCAGAAGTAATCAACAACTTTATAGCAACTTACCATTCTGTAAAATGATACATATATAGTTAGAAAGTTTTAACCTAGAATGGAATACATAAAGTTCATGGTGATAATGCATTATGAAGACAACTGTTTGAAATATAAAAACTATTTAAATAATTCAATGCAAAATGTAATCGATTCTGTAGTGAATTTATAAAGCAACAATAAAAGATATATTTTTCACCGTGATAAAAATATTTAAAAGCAAGAATATAAATCAAATAAATAGTTATCTTATATTGAAGAAACAACACCTTTAAAATCTTCTTACTGAATTACAACTATTACTCATTATTGAATGGTGTTCGTTAGGGCTGTCCACTCTCCCCATTCTTGTTTAACTTTGTCGTCCATGTGCTTTTAGAGATGTCACTTTTCTCATCTAAATTTCCAGGAGTTGAACTTCTACCGGGAAATTCACGTGTTGACTTAGAATATGCCGATGACATGGCTCTATTTGATGAAGACGCTGACAAAATGCACAGTCTTCTGACCACTCTAAGCAAAACTGCAAGCATGTTCGGGATGAGATTCTCACCCTAGAAATGTAAAATGTTGCTTCAGGATTGGGTTGCATCGACACCCGACCTAATGCTAGGGAGTGAAGTAGTTGAGCATGTCTGATGTGTGACGAACTCTCAGAACGGATAAAAAAGGTTCGGTTAGTTTTTGTCACTTGCATCATTTATGGCGTAGGCGAGATAGCCGTCTACCAACCAAAGGACCGGTTTACTGCGCAGCAGTTCGTTCCGTCTTACTTTATACCAGTGAAACATGGCCGGTAAGAGTAAAAGATACTCGTAGATTACTAGTACTTGATCATAGGTGTCTTCGAAGCATTGCTCGTATATCCTGGGACCACCGAGTAAGTAATGTAGTTGTTAGAAATCGGGTACTAAGTAAGGATGGCAAATCAATTGATGAAGTAATGAAACTTTGTCAGTTGAGGTTGCTGGGATATATTTGACATATGCCCAGCCACTAACTGCCCCGACGTGTTATGTTTTCTGGTGTAGGACTAGGTTGGAAGAAAGATAGGGGCGGCCAGACCAAAACATGGCACAAACCCATGAATTCTCTGACAAATGGACTGAGCCATGTTGATATGTGTAGACTACCTGGTTGTTATCCGCGAGATGATAGCAACCGATGGTTAGAGACCTTGAATGACATGACTCAAAACCGTTTACAATAACACAGGTGCATCCACTCTTTGTGTTCTTCCAAATTCTAATCTCCTGAAGTCTTCATGTCCCCTTTTTTTCTCTTTCTAAATTTACTTCATTGGATTATACTCCTTGAATAATGTTTTCAAACTCTGATCTTTCCGATTACTGCTTATACTCTTACTACCTCTACCACTACGGGATTTGAATCGACAACTGCATCTCTGTGCAAATGCGATGTGGCAACTCGAACTGATGTACGTACGTACGTACGACGTTCTACGTTGTTACTGACTGACTACATTATTGAAAACTTAAATACTATTCATAAATAATAGACATTTCAGCAATTTGCAGTGTAGATAATGGAATTAATTCAGTGAAAAATAGTAAATTATAGAAACTGATGTTTACTGTCAAGTATGCTATAACCTAACTTATTACTTAAAAATTACTTCAACATTAAAATGGATATGGATTCCTCGGAACATCTTCAAAAGATATAAATAAACTGTTATTCTCTCTAAACATCTTCTGCTTTTTAATTATCGCAGGTGTATCTATGAATTGTTAGATGTACTTGAAGTTTATGAGAGTAGATACTTTATGTTAAATGTGAACCATGTAATAAAATATGTTACTTGATGATTAAGAAGTTAATTTCATATTTAAATGAATTCTGAATTGTAACATGTTTATCTGTCATTCAACTATTTTTTCTACATTTTCATTCCTCATAAAAGTTAATCTTGGAAAGATAAATTTCTTTTTACACATATATATTCATACTTCCTTTGTTTGTGCAAAGGTTATATGTAGCAGATATGCATTTAAGTGAATTAATCCGGATTTATAAATGCTGTCTTTATTTAATTAACAAGTCGAATTTTGGAAAACGCACTAATTTCCCTAAAATACCCATAATTTTATTCCTGATCAGATATCACTGACTTGGTTCCAATCGAATTGGTGAGAAATAAGGTAAAAGTATGGTGTAAGACCATGCTTAAAACAACCACGACTAATATCCAGCTAGTTTCTGGTCAATGAAAAAAAGCCTTTTATCAATGGATAGTTTAAAATAAAACAGTAGTTATTGTGAACTATAAACGGAGTTTACATAATTATTAGGGTCTGTCTGCTGTAAGTGTAAATAACAACGACATGTACATTTATACTAATGGATAAAGATTATCTATATTGTCAAACCATTCAATCGATTTTTAAGAGTCCTTACATTGTTCCTGGCTAGGGTTAAGTAATTAGAGTTGAGGTTCTCATCAAAACCTAACGTTAGCTACAATGCAAAAATGTTCTGTAGCTACATGTATAGATATATTTCGCTCCAAATATCTGACTAGGTTCATCCATCAATTCTACTACATGGTAGCCGCAAAGGTAAGGTGTCTTATTCTAAATGAAGGGTTTAGGATTAGGATTTAGTGTTGGGATCGATTTGCCCATTATATACAATCTACGAAAACAGAATTCAGCTTTTAATTCTTCAATTCTTTTGATTCTTCTTTATTTCTTAATTCATGAGTCGATCTAAGCTAGATGACCATTGAAAATCTGGAAGTAGAAGACAGCAGTTTTTTCCTAGCATTGAAATTAAAGAATCGTAACATATCTTAATAATCAGCTTTTCTTTTTATTCTAATCATTAAAAATTAATGCTAATTAATTAATAAAATTTAATGATTTTTCAACTTCATTAGTTGAGATCATGAGTTAATTGAAGTTAGACCACCAGTGTAGTTCAACCGGGTCAGTTGTGAGATAGTAACTCACTGATGACAACGGTGAATGTGTCACTCAATTTCGAGGACTAGTTGAAGTTAGACACTAACACCGTTGGATGTCGGTTCAGTGGCCTAGTGGTTAATCACTCGCGCGCGAAACTGATAGGTCCGGCGTTCGAACCCCGCGTGGCGGGGTGACGGATGAGCACTGCTAAGGAGTCCCACAATGGGACGAAACGGCCGTCCAGTGCTTACAGGTTTCCCATGGTGGTTCAGCTTCAATTGACTCATGATCTCAACTATTGAAATCACTACAATCTCCACAAAACACCTTTTGATACAAATTTTTCAACTATCTGAATATAGATATCTATGTTGAAAAAATCTTCATGAAGTTGTATTTCAATGATAATTTAAATGTAATAATGCAACATTTTAGTTACATTTGATTATGTAATCAAATTATTTCTGCCAATCTGTCTCCATATTCACATTCAGAATGTTTTTCCAAAAAAAAATATAAGACGTATTCCTTTAATTAATTATCTGTCTATCTATAAGCATATTTGCATCAAATATGTTAATTAAAAGAATCTAATAAATGAAATCTGTACATTATTTAAAAGAACCTATAATAACATGTGATCGAATAAGCAGCTGAAAGTTAGATTTTACAAAAAAACAACCTAGATTCTAGTCAGTTTTGATTTATTAACTGTGGGATGTAAATATTATTTTATAGACTATAAATAATAATTATTGCTACATTAGTATCCTGTAATGCCCTTGGATAGACACATTTAATGCTGGTTATAAATTAGTTGTTTAGTATTATAGTAAAAAAAACACTATTAGTTACTATAGTGAAAATTGACAAGCATATGTGAGCGTCTTTTAAGAAATTAAATACAATGAAATCAGCTGTTCTCTTTTTAAACTAACCCTATATATATATATATATATATATATATATATATATATATACCTTGTATTAATAATAGTTAAAAGTGATTTTCACTGATCAGCTAATAGTAACTTACATTAAGTTGTATAACCATTTGTCTACCTTAATCCTATTAATCAAATGACAGCTAAACTGCTGATTAAATAAAAACGGCTTGACATCACAAATAAAGATAGGTAATGACTAACAGTGGAATCCGAGACGCACTTTTCATCGTATTTGAGACTCGTCAGTTGAATGTACCTGCATCTCAGAGTTAATATCTTCCATGAGTTGTCCTTGACATACTCCATCATTTCTTCAATCTTTTTGTCATTCTGATTGCTCTCTCTTTTCCTTTCTTTTTTATTCTAATCTTCTGACGGTAAGCATTCCACTTCCAATCCCTGTTATATACTACTTATGTTTGTCCGTATAAGTGGAGCACACCACAGTACTAGACACTATAATATCATATCTTATAATTATCAATTCGACAACAAAATGCAGAAAATAAAAATTAGAAATAAGTTGAGAACCCTGTCAAAAAAACAATTTTTGATAGTTTAGTTTGCATTAACATACATGGAAAGAGTGTAAAGTTTTTTTTCAATTATTTTGTAAAATGAAATAAACTGTATACATCGATACTCGATAAACTGAGTGAATATCTTAATTGAAATGACTATCATGTGGTTTATAGGCTAAAAGTCCAACTAAATTTACCGTTTTCTAAAAACATGTTAGATTGAAGTTTTACTAAAGGTTACACTCCATCACAGCAAATAGATATAACTTTAAGATGAGACTTAATGAATCATCATTAGAGTTTTCTAGCTTCATTTAGTTATAGAATCATTCTCTAGCAACCTAATATTACTTTTATGTTGTCTCATTTACGATATAATTATTTTGAATTAATATTTAGGAAATCGGTCGAAAGGAGATAATTCAAAAGGTATGTTAGTATCAAGAATGCTTCTAATTATAAATTGACAAAACCTCATGATTTTCAGTGATTATCATTTTGTCAAATGAAAACTTTTTATACATGCATGTATGTTCAATTGATTATTTCTTCGGTTCCATCATTGTTCTACTACTCATTATCCTGCTTGACAGATAAGTTTTTATTCTATGGTTAACTGAAATGCCAATTGCTTATAAATAATTTGCCATACATTAAATATTATTTGCATCAAATATTTACACCAAATGTTGAATTTTTATAGAGATCTATGGGAAATACTGAAGCCTTTGAAGAATTCGAAACAATTACACTACAACCAATAGGTCGAGGTGTACAAGATCTTGATTCACATGTCGGATCAATGACAACACTGGCACGAGGAGGTGGTGCTTCGTCTATGATTGAAGGTAAAACTTAATTATTATATGTATTTTATATAATATGGCGTATGTTTGTATAATACAAATAGATGTGCAAGTAGATGTATTTTGATCACACTGAGAAAAACTCTAACAAATCACTTAAGTAATATGATATCATCCTTTATAAAAGAAATGTTCTAGTTGTTTGGCTATAAAACTTGGAACTTGAATAGATGGGTAATCATTTCATGTCATTTACATAGTAGGGTTTTTGCATCAACTTCTTTTAATTAACGATTAGACCATTATGTGTAGACAATATAATACCATCCAAAATGAATAGGTTAAGTTGACTTGTAAAGCACACAGGCGAATTCATCTCTAATTCCAATGCTTAACTGACTGAAATGTTTTCTCTATTAATGTCACAGGTTTTAATCATACATTTCTATTGAGAAAAACTTAATGCACACTTCCTAGTATAGTCCCAACTACTTTAAATTCAAAAACAACTGAGATCTTAGGTACTTGGAGTAGTCGATTATTAACATTGAAATCAGATTTTTGGCTAGTTGTCAGTTTTCAAAAAGGCGTATGTGTAATCATTAGGTAACTGATACTTTTTGTGTAAATCAAAACCACGTCAATCAACTCCACTATTTGAGACGTTATCACTGAGCTATTCCGACCGCCACTAAACTTCTGTATGACATAATTTGTAAATATTCCTTAATCGATAAGTCCATATACGATTCACAAACTGAAATAATGCAGAAACTAGAACAATACCTGAAATGATAAATTAAACCACTTAGAAGATTATAAAAGTTATAATTGAATACCGAGACTTTGATTTCAATTTGGCAATGATTAATTATATATTCATAAAATAAGTTTTTTTCAAAGATATTTATATATACATAAATACACAAAAATAATTTGCATTCATATTGACTTTATTGTCTTCTATCTAGAACTATAAATATGAACCATGTGATGATCACATTTTGCCTAATGAAACTTAACACTGATCGTATTATGTAATAATTAAATTTCAGATTTATATTCACTTGGTATTGCTTGGCTTGTATCTTCCCATTGAGGTTTAAGACTGCAATTGATCAGTCTGTTATTGGCATATGTGCATACTGTGCTTATGCCTCGATATTACCTTATATTGTTTCATTTTATAAATAACATTCATGAAACTACAATTTAAGTTAGATACTTAACTATGTCTATCTATACTCAAAGGATAATTAAGCTATGAATTTTAACAACATCATCGTCATAGATATTGTCTAGAAATGTGTTTACTCTGTTACTAACTTTTAACAATTGTGTATTTTGATTCATTAAGTTGCCAAACATCCTTACAATTATTCCTTAATGATATTTTAAACTAATGGATAATGATTTATTCCGATAATTGTTATCCAGTTAGGCAAATAATTGGTACTCATTGAAAGGAAAAGAAATATTTAACACTGGGATTATCATATTCATTTTAACATTAGACCATTCGAAAGCTATTTTCTAATTATTGTGGCTTTAAGGCCGGCTTATTATTACCCAATCTAGTTACGATCCATTCAATCTTAGTACTGTGCCAAACCAATGACGTTCGACCTATATGAACAGCCTAGCGTCGTTTTGGTCCCTTGTCCACCTAGCCTGTTCAGTTGAGTCCAGAACGTCAATAACAGGTTCCGCTATGCGAATCGTTTATTTCAAATATACCTGGTTTATATACCAGCCAAACAGACCACATCACATCATAAAATAGGAAATAACATTTATACAAGATCAAGCCAAAATGCGGATGTGAACGTAGAAGACTGTAATCAGTAAACTGAACATAAGAACAGTAAATTGTATAATAATAATCTTTAGATCAAAATGAAGCTTATAATAAGGGGAATATAGATATACACAATCTAGTCACTGAATAGTTACACAATAAGAATATATAGATAATATTAGTCTACTAATAGTTCTCAGAAATCACTCATAATTTAATCTTCGCTAGTGATAAGTCGTGTAGGTTGAACGCTATATTAGTTTCCTAAGCTATTTCTCGCAACCCGCAGTCTAGAACTACACAGCGACTTGAACACCAGAGAGAAGACATAAGTATGAGAGAAAATACTTTATCCCAATGTTCCTCTTAGTACAGAAAATCAAGGGTATTTATAGATGTTGGCTTCTGTTAAATCAACATCATATTTCAGCCAATCCGTTAACGTCATGTTATGCTACCGACCAATGGTAGCACGCCACGCTGGAATTCTCGAACGTTCCATCATACTCTGATTGGCTAGGGCCCTTCGGCTCCTTTTTGGGCCTCTGGAGGCTCCGTTGAAGTTCTCCGGAAGCCGACCCAACAGCTAGGATATAACACTAACTTTATGTGAGTTTTGTACTTAGTGTCTAAAGGAAAAGTGTAAATTATTCATATGTGATTTTGCATTATATGCAAACAATAACTGTGATTATTGTATTGATAATATGACTCAAGAGTTTTTGGTAAACAGTCAAGTTTTCACATTGTTGATTCTCAATCCCATTTTATTTAAACATAATTACTATAAAGAAGATTAACAGTTTTAAATTGAAAATTTTATTTGATCATCCGCATAAATTAAACATATACATCCCAACAGAAATATCCTATGACACTGATATTTTCAAATAGATTGAAATTGAATTTACACTTTAGAAATATATTTCTGTAGTATATGAGTATATTGTTGCTAACCATTAATCAAAACGATGTCAAACATTAGAATTATATTTGTCATTTTTAAACGTCCTGTCAATCTGTTGACATTAGCTAATCAATCATATAATGGATATAGAATTATAAATAAATTACTTAGTTACATAATCTCTTTTTCCTGATAATTGTTATATCCAGTAAATGATTTAGAATTCACTACAAGTTATTAGGATATTTTTTGTTGTAAATCTTTCGAACACATCTCATTAATAGATTTGAATTCCATTTCTATACTTATATATACTTAACCAGTTATACAAAGCCTTAATAAGACTTTATCATAAAAAGAACTTGACAGATCACCATCACTCTTGTGTTAATAACACTTCATAAAGAAATATAACTGTTCTAGCATACTCCTTAATAAAACCTATATGTTTTGTATTATTATTGACTCTATATATAATTAAAAACATTCATTACTATCGTGTTATAGATTACAGTTAAGCTAGAATATCTACATGTCATTCGTTAGATTACTATATACTACATATAATTTCACTGATAAACTTGATAGGTAAGTAAGTATTAAAAATATGTTTATCTTTTAGATAAACTAAATAATTTCTTATCTAAAATACCTTTGACTGATAAACTGATACATGCTAAATAGTGACAAATCAGAATGAGATAAACAAAATATAAATAGAGAATAAGGTTGTATTAATATATCCAGAGTGTATTTAGCTATTTCAAAAGAAAAAAAAACAACCATTGGATTGTAATAATCTTAATAAACTTGTAAATGTTAAGTAACCAGGTGGCTTAAAAGTAATTTGAATATTGAATTTCAGATAAATAGACCAATATTTTACTAATGTCGAAATTCAATCAAATTTATCGCTTCCATTATCTCTTATGATACAAAATAAGGATCATAAAATGTATGTACTTCATTAGGCGATTACTGGAAATGACAATCATTTCTAGCTCAACAAAAAACACTAAGTGGATATCTACTTGAAAAATTTATAATTTTTAAGTTTTTTTTTATAGCAAAAGATTGTATAATCACTTTTGGTCACTTAATACTCTGTGATGTTTATTCAAGCATCAGAGAGTATAGTAATCTCCATAAATATAAATATTTATATAAATTCAGTAGTATATTTAAGTAACCAATAAAGCGAATTATCCTACTATTCTTCTTCAGAAGAAAATCTTTTGTGTATTTTAGGTAAGAAAGATTTAGAAGACACAGTGAACATTACAAAATAACAATAAATAAAACAAACATTCTCAGTTTACCATTATAATTATCGAATTTGTGTTTTTTTCTACTTAGCGTTTTTTTAACGCGTTAGTTTTCTACAGCATAGGGTCAGTAACCCCATGCTCAACCGTCGTCCTTTATCGGGACAGCTTGATTCAGCGATTATTGTTGAGCTAATTATCTAGTTCAATTTCATATAAAGTAGACACTGACAATGCCGTTGACAACCATAATGAACGTTTCATATAATTAACATTTAGATCAAAGAAGTCAACATAACCAAAACGATCCACCCAAGATATAGATCATCATTATCATAAGATAACAATACAATTCTTATTTCGTTCACTACATTATTCCTAGAACTTTATTGTCACTTAATATTTAGAAGTATAATATCATTGTTACTTTGAAGTAAAAAATAATATTGTGATAACTATTTCTGTTACGTAGGAGCTAATACGAGTATTAGATCCTACTGACTGTTATTCAACATTAAAAAGAATTTATTCAAGTATCTAACATACTATCTCTAGACTTTTAACATAGACAGAAAATTACTTATTAAAGCTACAAACCTATCTAAGTTAAGCGACCATTGTAAACCTGGAGGAGTTGGATGGCTGTTTTCTCTTAGCCCGGCACTCCGACACAGAAGATCAAAACCAGGATCTTTAGTATCCATGTGGATGTTTAACTCCCAAACCGGGATCCATTGGTGTACAAGTCTATGGTCACTTGAATCTCTACAATACGCAACCACCTCTCATTGTCTTTGGTGGGCATCTTCCTCAACCGTATCAGGTTTCATAGATGCGCACTGCTGAGCAGCCGCATAGTTGGGCGCAACAGCTATCCAGTGCACCTACGTTTTCAGTTGTTGTCCAATTTAGATCAATAATCACTGCAACACCCCATAATGTAAACAGTATCTCATAAATTATAACTAAACAATTTATTTGTAAGAAATGTGAAAGAAATTATTTATTTATAATTATTTCCGTTAATAATTTCTGTAATAACTTTCCTTTTCTTTCTTACTTCCATTCTCTGCATGCTAATCATGATTCAATTATGTGTTCACCATTTTTGTATGCAAATTATATTGCGCTCACTGTGTTTTTTATGTTTATATATATATTTATTTACCAAATATGCTGTGCTAAATTTGAATAAAACAACAATTTATACTTCCTAACAAAGTTCATAAGCATACATTTCGAACTCCAAGAATGTATTCACCAACTTCGTATCATTTTAATCGTGCTCATAGTACAACACCAACTCGTTATAGTAGACCTACTAAAGGGTTTTCCAACGGTTTATATAAAAGTCACTCTGCTTATAGTGGTTCAGTTGAAACATGTCCTATGTTTAAATCTCATACACCTGATCCAGGACGCGATATTACTGGTTCTCCTTTGTGGACAGCATTGCCAAGAAATTCTAGTACAACATCTACCACTTGTAAAACATGGAGAAGCGAAAGAAATATAACTACTACACCACTAGGACAAATTACTTATGAAGATATGATGCCAAATACACAAATGGCAAAAATTCAGGTACTAGAATCAAGTGAATTACCAACAACATTGTCTCCATATTCTAGAAAATCTGCCAGTCTACAGCCAAATGAAGTTGTAAAAAAAGATATAAGAGTGTTTGAATCACCATCGGACAATGCAATATTGAATAATTATTTAGATATTCATGAATCAGAAATGACTAATTTGAAAAGAGTTGTCTCTTTAAGAAAACCACCTGAACGTTCTAGATTATGGGCTCTTCCTGATAATATGAAAATTTTACGTTCATCAGATGGTTTTATGGCTGATTCATGCTATCCAAATGATGTTGATATTGATGAAAATGAGGAATTGATTAATCATCAATTCATTCTACCGGAACCTGGAAAAACTACATTGAAAACGGAAATAAATGGTTGGTTTTCCAGTAAACACATACTTAATATTTGCATATATTAATTATATAATAACAGCAGTAGTTACTTTCCATGTTTGCATACTCAAAAAATTACCTACATGTAAATTTAAATCCAGGCTAATGTGTGGCACCATCCTTCGATTAAGTTATACAAAACAATTGAAGTTTTGGTGACTAATACATGAGAGGAACATCGATTTGATGTATCATTATTAAAAATATCTTTTGTATACTATGAATATATATATCTTTTGCACATGTAAATACATTTCAGTTGAATGTAAAGCTACACTGGAAAGAATTAATCTTAATTGAAAATTGACATTAAAATAAACTAATCATCATTTTTAATAATCAGTTCAGTTTTAATAACGGAGTATGAGTTTCGGTGATTGTTTTCTTAATCTATTTGTTTATTTTAAAATTTATTCAGATTGCGTTGTACGGAATCCTTGAACAATGTTTTTTACATTCAAACAATTTAGTACTTAAAACAGAATCAACTTTTTTTACAGTTGAATTGCTTGTTCCGGTTCCTGGTTGATGAACTAAATCTATTTTAATATGCTTGTATATTTTCAATGAATTTGAACATTAAGTTTTTGGTGGAGTTTTGTTCTGTGAGCTAGATGGTTTGGTGATGGAGCTTTCTGAACGACATTATCAGCAAAACTTCTACTTGATGATGTGGAGGCTCCACGACCAAACCATCCAGCTCACAGGAAAAAACTCCACCAAGATCATTAACCTAAGCTGCAAATCTCCATCATCTCAATAATAAGTTTATTTGTTGTATTGATATTTATTTGAAGTTTTCTGGAATTTTTATATTTGTATGCATGAATCTATCTGCACTTCTTCATGTATTATGATTAACACACAGTAAAAAGCCTAAATGTCATTTTTATAAACATTTATAATATTAGGAATTAAACGTTTTATTTGAATTTGTTATGTTAATAATTAAAAATCCTTAAGTACTTGAATTATTCAATCTACAACATGAATTTCTGAGCTTATTAAAATTGGTTGATTACATAATTCACTAATTTTAAAATTATGATCAGAGAGGGGTTTTGTGGATATTATAGTAATTTTAATAGTTGAATAAGCTAAACTACCGTGAAGAACCTGGAAGCACTGGACAGCCATTTCGTCCAAGTATGGAACTGCTCAGCAGTGCGCATCCACAAAGTTAGACATTAACACCGTTGGATGCCAGCTTGCTTAGTGGTCTATAGGTTAAGCGCTCGCGCGCGAGACCGACAGATCCTGGGTTCGAATCATTTATCTATCTTATCTAAAGTACATATCATAACAAGCGAAATATGGTGTGTGATTTGTTTGTTGTTTCGGTTTTTTCTGTTCATATTGGTTCTTTATATTCATATTGTAATGAAGAATAAAATTAAATGTAAAACTTCATTAACAATAGAATATGAGTTAATAATATTTGAATTATATTTCTTAACCATTATTATCAATGAACTTCTGTTGAACAGATAAATGTAACCTATAATTAACAATAAGCTTATGTTCATATATAAATTTAACGAATTAAAGCATTTTTTTATAATTTTCCCTTTTATATACACATATATGCATTACTTAACGTTGAATTCATCTAACATTATTACTAATTTCTTTTTCACGATTAACTTAATCCTTTATAACCACCTTATTACTATTTCAATAAAACAAGTTAATTGAACGTGTTTTGTGTTTTTCGTTTCTCTTCCTCTCTCTCTCGCACACACACACACACACGATGTTCATATGTTGACATGTTGTTGATCAAACTAATAATAATGATGATAATATTAAGGTTTAAGTCAAATTGATGATCATCAACCTCCACGAGCAAGCTCACGTACAAGTTTATCACGACAACCATTTGCTTCAACTCAGTAAGTTCATATTTATATAATGAATATTGTTTAAATATATATATACATTGTTGATTTGTTTTGAGATTAAAGGATTAGATTTTTACTTATTGTTCTATAAACTCTAAATTAGAAATATTTTATATATTTCAATTATTCAAAAGAAAACATGATCCTTAGAATGAAGGTTAATCTCTTCTGTGTTACTGATATCTTTCTCTTCTTAATATCTGTAAATAATCATCAAATCTATCTTCTATATTTCAAATCAATCGTTCAGAATGTAGACAACTTAAAACATTATCTCTATAAGCATTTTAATTAATTCGATGACCTATTCCATACTATAAACACTGAATAATTCCAACCGACCATATCTTGTACTGATCAGTTAACTAACATAAATGCCAACTACATTTGTATATATATATATATATAATAAATAACAAGTTTTAAACTCAGTTCAATTAAGTTATTTTAACAGTTGAATTCATGAGTCAACTGAAGCTAGACCATCATTGAAAACCTGGAAGCACTGAACGGCCTTTTCGTCCTATTGCGGGGCTCCTCAACAACCCTCGCCTACGGCCCCGCATGTGGGACTCCAACGCCGGACCTTCGGTCTCGCGTGCGAACACAACCTCTAGACTAAGCAGGCTGGCATCCAACGGTGTTAACGTCTAACTTCAACCAATCCATGATCTTGCGCAACCCTTATTATTTGATTGATAGTATGCAGCCCAAACTCACTTAATGGTATAACATCAAAATTTGAAAGACATCCATTTGTTCGATGTATTGTACAAAGTTTTAATATCTCACAATATTCAGTGTGACTTTTATCATAAACTTATAGAGCAATCATATTATTTTTCTTAGATGTCCTACTTCGAGTATAGTATTAGTAAAAACGTTAGCTGGGACAGTAGGTCAGTTACGCACTTACTATATTGTATATTTTTATGGTGTAGCAGATAGGTTAACTTTTTTAATATATTAACCATAATTGTTACGCCAGATAGCATTATCTTCACAAATCTGTAGAACATTCAAATATATACTTATTCATACATCAAAAATATATAAACGTTTACTGAAAATTGCCTACACTGTTATTTTTGTTACTGAATTCAATTCCATTAGTTTTATACTCCAATTAATGTTATTTAATTTCTCGAATAATCCCGAGTTTAATACGAAATGTTGTTGAGATAGCTGTATTTCGGACTTTTCAACTCAACAGACTAAAGGCACAAAGTACAGAGCTTGACGGAATTATGAATGACTAACTGTGAGAAGTGTGGATTACATTGTGTAATGTGTATTTTCCGTGTGACCATCAATAGATTTGTGAATTGTTGAGTGGCTTTATGTAGTACAAATAGTTAGTGCCATAAATAGACAAATGAATATGCAAACATCCATACATATGTAACAGTGTACGTGAATAAAAGTTCACAATTAATCATACAAATAAATACTAAGTACTTAATAGGATTAAAGTGACTTATTTGAATATCACATGATTGTTTTGATTTGTACCTATTCGAAGCAGTACAGCTTGGATAAGTATACTTCCTCCATGATCCAAATAACTATTATAAGGCTGTTTCATCGAATCAAATGACTTACCATAGAATCTATGTAAAAACCCGAGTATCTTTAGACAGTTACTTTAGTTATCATCAGTTAATAAGTAAACTCTTCAAAGACTTTATTGCTACTCGCCTTCTGATAATCAACAACACGGAAAATCCTTTTAATGAGCTCTCAGATCGTTTGTTAAAAATAACACGATATAATTTTATAAGATTTTTAATGATCACTGTGATTGTACGGACTTCAAATTACATAGTAACCAATGTAACTGTCTTTACACATTCACTCACTTGTTATCCATTATCCAGACCTCAGATTGTATTAAACCTTCGTGCTTCACACATTGATTTTTTTACTTATAAATAAAATACATTTTCCATTTCTTTTCTTTTATTGTTCTTTATGATATCTACTTTTATGATTAGTCACTACTATATTTATTTTGTATCAAAACTCATGCTCATTCGTTATCACTGATAGTGTTGGTTTTAAGCTGTCTTATATATGTGCTTATGTGTTTTAGAATAATCGTTTTTGATAAACCGAGTAGGTTCTTTTAATGATAGCAGTTTGTTACTGGTTTACTTACAACCAAATTTTAATAACAGATAATAAAGTTACATAAGCAAGTTCAATACTTCTGTTAGTATTTTATTTTTTAACGAATCATCATTCGAACCAATAATCAAACTGTGACGACGGACCACGGTTGAACTCGAGGAAGCTTTAGAAGGCTCAAAAGGAGCCGAAGATATTCCATCTAATCACCTTTTGGAAGAATATTCTCGGACTCCTACGTGTAGCTTCCCGATTGGACAATGCTAATAACCCCCTGTATGCGGATTGGAGGACTGTAATGATGATTTCGTTCTTACTAAAAACTATAAATACCTGACAATTTTGTACTATAATTGACGCTGTCTGGGAATGATATTCCTTTCATTAGTCTTCTGTCTTCTCATTGCGACTTGGAAGGGTTCTGGCGTTCTAGTGCTCATGTTATACGCGGTATATTAGGAACAACCCTCTAGATATAACACAAATCATATCAAAGCAGTTATTATTGCTGATATTATGCAACTAATTTACTACTAAAACTACTCACACACTATATGAAGAGTTGATATTAAAAATTTTCCGTATACTAATAGAATGAAAATTAACAAATGCTCCAGTTACCGGTAAGCGTCATCCATGAACAAGGCGGATTTGATGTAGATGTAAATGCGGGGTTGGCAAAGCAAGGACAGTATTTCCACAGTTGAAAAACATAAGGAACTCAAAACAGCTATCAATCAATAACAAAGTCACAATCTTTAGTACGAACGTCAAGACAGTTAGTTCTACTGTACGGAACTGCAACTTGGAGAACTACCACAATCATCATCGAAAAGTACAAGTATTCATAAACAATTGTCTACACAAGATTACTCCATGTCCGTCGACTGTATATCATCAGCAACAACCTACTATGGGAGAGAACAAACCAGGTTGCAGCTGAAGAGGAAGTTAGGAAGAGACGATGGAAGTGGATAGGACATACATTTCGCAAATCATCAAACTGTACCACGAGACAAGCCCTAACTTGGAGTCCTGAAACGAAACGAAAAAGAGGAAGGCCGAAGAACATATTACGTCGGGAAATAGAAGGATGAATTAAAAGATAAATAGCAACTGGAAAGGATTGCCCAGGATCGAGTTAGATTGAGAATGCTGGTGGATGGCCTATGCTCCTCCACGAAGGGTAACAGGAGTAAGTAAGCTCCAGTTACTAAGCAGCTGCAAATGACAGTGTTTTTTCCTTCATTGTTAATATATCAACAAGAGTTCAACGAAATTAGGCACAGATAAGGTCAGTTCTAATTTACACAAACATCAAGGATAATATTTTTTTTCTTTCTAAATACATTCTATCCTACATATTTTTAGATATCTCAATAAACAAAATTATAATCATGATGGAGAACAGACAATTTTCATTAATCGTGTTCAACCAACATCAAGTAAGTCATGAGTGTAATTTGAAATTCCAAAGGTTTGAATTATTTGAAATTTCATGTCAATATCAATAAGGTCTTCACTCTGACAATCTATCAACTAGTATACACGGGATTTATTATTTTTCACATGATTAGTTTAAATAGAAGTTATAATAATCACTTAGTTCAATACAATTTATTCAGGAAAACAGGAGAGACTTGGGAAATTCGGGTTAAGGAATATTTGTGCCAGGCTCTACGTTAACTAAAATTAATTAATTATCTATAATACTAACATAATGCAACAATTTAAATCTGAGTTGCAAAACTTACAATCTATGAATACACACTAACAGTAAGAATAATGAGCTTTAACTATGCACCTCTAGTGCCCTTGTTTAGTTCTGCTCCTACAATGTTTCTATCACATAGCGTATTTGTTAAATAGGAAATTGTTAAGGTTTTACATTTCATAATGTCTATAGTTTGTTTTCTTAGTGCCAGAGAACAGACGTGAAAATCTTCGTGACCAGTGCCTATAGTTCGTATTCGACAATATAATACTGACTAGTTAAATGTATAAGTTTGAATGTGTGTTCACAACCATACATTTATAAATATATCAACAATGGTCAATAGTGATCTTAATAAACGAATTCAAACTCCTCAGCAACAAAGTATAAACTTTCTGTTAAAACTTATAAACAGAATAAAAAGTAACAAAGTAAGTGGATGGATGGCATACAGGAATTTATCATTTACAAACATAAATATTCAGTGATTTCAATTGTATAAGATACGAATGAAATTGGGATATTTTTATTCATTATTATTGTATAAAATATTAAAACTGAAGGCTTTTTCATCATCCTGTTCTTAGTAATATCAACTATTATCATTATTGAATATGATATACAAAAATAAAAATTCCAGCTTCATATTTAAAGATAAATAACATCTTCCTGTATGTGTATATTCTATAAAATAACTCAAATAAGTACACTTTATTTTATGAAGTAATCATTATTTGAATAGTTGAGATCATGAGTCAATTGAAGCTAGACCATCATAGAAAACCTGGAAGCATTGGACGGTTGTTTCGTCCTATTATGGGATTCCTCAGCATAGTGACTTAGAGAATGGTTAGACAGAACTATTTTTCTATAAAATAATAATTCTTTGCTAACAGCCTAAAGGACATTATTTTGAACTATGGACTTTACGAATCAAAAATATGAAGCATGATTTGTGCAGATTGCAGTACTTCTATAATTTAAATCACAAAATAATCTTAGCTAAACCACCATTAAGAACCTAGGAACATTGGATGACCTTTTCATTTCAGAATGGAATTCGTCAACAGTGCGCATTCACGTACTAGGACGTAAAGGTCTTTCAGTGCTTCCGGGTTTTTAATGATGATCTGGCTAAAACAGGTTTGCGAGTTAAGCTATAGGAATAAAAGTGTAATGTTACTTTCATAGCACTCACTACTGGCTCAAGTTTCTTCAGAACTATCAAAACTTTAATATGAAGTACAACTGAGTTATCAAGGAGAAAATTCGAGCAAAATAATAGTATGTCAGGGCATTAGAAGACTAAAATAAGTTTATCTCTACAAGTGTAATTAGAAATGAACCATTATACTCCAGTACCATGGATAGTAGTATCTACGATTTTAAAAACACCAATTAGTCCAGTTTGACTGCCGAAACCAATGCGTTGTCGACTTCATAAACAAGTATCTGATTTCTTCCTCCCTAGTCTTAATTTCCTTCCAGTTCAATTCCATTCTAGTTAATATCGAGAGTTATTTGCTAGATTGTATATGATCTAGTTCACTTTGATTAATGTAAGTTCACAACTTTACTCTGTGATCCTATAACTTAGTACTTGACTTTAACTTTTAATACCTATGTCTCAAAGTGAATGTCATTTTAATTAATATTAGTGCTTTCATCAAATAACTAAATAACTTTCTGTAAATCAACAATAATTACAAACTACCATGCAAAAAAGTAAACAAATTAATTAATAGAAAGTAGCCCATAGTTTGAGCAACTTGTTCAGAAAAATAAATGTATCAGATTCATACTGTTGAACCGGTTTCATGATTAAGTATGTTAAAGCATATTAAAATAAATATACCAGTTTTACAGTGTAGATAACGTTTTGAAAAGCTATATCCCGTCGATAAAACAATCTTCAGTGATATTATTTAAATATTGTATTCACATAGAAACTTTATTCCCTCCAACGTAATTCCTTTTACTTTCAAAGTTGATGTCTACTTGTGTAAATGATCATCAACTAATGTACACCAGTAATTTCAGTTTCCTTCAAGGTATTATCGTGTTCTGTTAATAATTTTCTAACTTTAACTGATGACTATTTCTTGACCTGTAAGTTGATTCTGAGTTCGTCAGGTTATTTTAGCTTATCTTTAAATAATTCACTAGTGTAGTTAATATCAGAATTTTTCAGGGAAAGTTCCAGTTCAAGAGTAGTGTTTTCTATTTCCGTGTATCCAAAAATATGATTGCTTTAAAACACATCTCATAACTTTTTTTATTACTCGAAAACTGTCTCGTCAGGTACCCCAGTTCAAAGTTATCCACCCAGTAGACTTGGTACACAATCTGTTTATCCAGATCACATTACTGTCTCAACTACTCCACAAACAGTAACTGCTCCGACAAAAGTTGTCAGTAATTTGAATGTTTTGACGAACACTAGAAAAACGAGTGAAGTTACCGAAGTTCCTATGCAAAATGGATGGAAATCTGAGAAATCTAAACAAGATACAGTAGATAGTGGTAATATGCCTCAAGTGATTGCAACTGCACGTGTTTGGTATCAACCTAAATTATCCAGAGAAGAAGGTAAGTAGTTGTAATTATGAACAACTATTCTATTTTATCAAGAATGACGAATCATCATTTATATTACTAGAAATATAGACCACTGGATTTCAACTAAGTGATATAAGTGTTAAGAAATTGTCGATAAATGATAAGCTCCTGAGTGAGACGCTTAATGTAAGTAAGTACTAGTATGAAACTTTATAATCAGACACATTAGTTGTACAATAATAGCATAGCTAATATTATCCCGTTGTAAAAACCACCTAACCATGTGTTGTTATTCTTAGTAATTTGTTTTTGTATTCTTCCAAGAAAAGCAATGAGACAAATTTCTTTATCCTAAAAACTCACTTTATGTTGGGGTGATCCAGAAAATTGCTTGCAAAAGACAAGCAAGCATCAGGAAACACTAAGAAACGTTTCATCCAATCAGCGTTCACTTGAAGTTTTAGCCAAAAATATCAAGGAAACGAAACGTCACATGCAGAGGCTCTGATTGATTGGCTGCTACACTGCTACTATGTTTAGTAGCATTCCAGAATCTTCGAGCAACCCAAGGATATTTAAAATATTATAAAAACCCTGTGTTTTCTGTAATAAAGTGAACCTTAGAGTAAACTACTTCTCATATACTTTGAGTCTTCTCTCTCGTGTTCAGGTTGCTGTATAGTTCTAGCTTGGGGATTACAGGATAGCTTAGGAGACGAATATAGCGTTCAATCCCCAAGACTTATCACTTTAAGATTGAAAACTAAAATCCTGTATATACACTATTTCGTTGATAATCTTTTTTATGTACTAAATACCATGAATTAACTTAATTAAATTACCATTTACTTAATATTAATAGGGTAATAAATCATTCATAGCTCATTTATTTACATAACAATACAGAAAATTCATTATTCAATCATAAACTATTAACCAATCAAACTAAATTACATTCAATATTTTGCACAACATGGTAGAGAATTTAAAGAAACGTCACAATAAATAATAATAATAGTAATAATAATACGTTTTGCATAAACTCCTTGTCAGTATGATATATTTGATTCAATGCCAAAAGTTATAAACTACACATGTAAACTCTACATGTAAGTTGATGAAACAATGCAAACAAACAAAAAACAAATATACATTTTTTAAAAAAAGCTGAAATAATTTTTGTGTAAAAATATACAAAATACCTGGAAAATATTGTTGCTAAGTAATTCTCTCTTATTTACTTAGTATTTGTTTTACAAATATTTCCTGTATTGATTTTTTTGTCTTTATATGATGTATATGTGTACAATATTCAAGAAAACATATTAATAACGTTTATCCCGGTAGTCTCTTTGTTTGTTTTTTGTTCATAAAAGCTTCAAACAAAACATGAATTTAGTAGAGTTGGTTAATGGTTAAAATTAAGATTTAGAACGTGCGTTTCGTCCTATCTTTGATTCGTCAGCTGGATGTGCCTGTGTTTCTGGTATTGATGTTCACGGAAAGACTCCAATCCAGAGCCTTTAGCTTCAAACTCCCGATGAAATAAATACACACTGAATCTAAATAGACATTATCTTATTCATTTTGTGTTTTTTGAACTAAAGGGTAACTAAAAAAAAATTAGGCAACTATAAATATTTCAAATGTGACTAGCAGTTACTTTCATTAACAGACTGTGTAATTAGCTGTTATGAGTGATTAGTCTGTCACTGATCTTACATAAATGTCTGTTCTCTTCTTTCCCGACCCTCATCTCATTAAGTGATAGTCTGTGATTATTTAAAGATGATAGGTGGTACAAGTCCCAAATACGTACAAGTTGTCTGATCTATATGTTATTTCTGTCCAAGTCATACAGATTCTGTCGATCCAACTCATATATATATATATATATATATATATATATTACTCACGCCCGTTACTCCCAATGGAGCATAGGCCACCGACCAGCATTCTCCAACCCACTCTGTCCTGGGCCTTCCTTTCTAGTTCTATTCAATCGTTGTTCATTCTTCTCATGTCTGTCTCCATTTCTCGGCGTAATATGTTCTTTGGTCTCCCTCATCTCCTTTAGCCTTCAGGATTCCATGTGATATATATAGTTATTTACATGTATCGACTTTAACTATTGTATATCAATACGTTTATGGATTGTTATTATTATAGAGACTAAGAAAAAAGATATATTTGAAAATTATTGTTATTTATTTCGCGGACTATCTTTGGCTTGACTAGCCACTTTAGTTTGTACAATATATATTAGAGAGAGTATGTTAGTTATCATTTCCGAAGGTCCATAATAATCTGGCTTTAGTCTCTAGGAGGCTTTTCATGTAGAGTTCATCAGTTTCATACTATGACTTCAAAAATGCTTGCCATGAGACCTGATACTCTTGGATTTGGTCCCAATGAACCGTTAGATAACAAGATGGAACGCCTATGAAGTGCTTACTCGTCTTCAATGATTGTGCAAGTAAGGTCGATATACATGTAGTATAGTCAGTTTGGCGAAAATCTTTTAATTAAGCTATATTGATAGATTTTCTTCAATGTCTTTCCCCATAGTTCCTGTGGTTTATTTGATCCAGTTTTCATAACGTTTTTAAAAATTTGCAAACTTTTGAAAAGATGCTCTTACAATTTAAGATCCTATCACCATCAGTTTTTGTTTGATACATTTTATTCACATACTTTTTTCTATCTTATATCATTCCATATGCGGCTTTTATTTGAATTTTCTATACTAAGTTTGGTAAGCGAAAAGCATTTCGTACATAATATTAATTTGTATGGAACACTGATTCTCCTAAACTAATTATATTACCATTTTATCATTTGTTACACTATAATCCTTTTAATCCTTTAATTTTTACTTATTTGTCCAATCATAATTTCTATCAGCTATAAGTATTTTACGTCAACAAGTCCCTGGAAGTTTTCTTATTCGTGATAGTACAACATACAAAGATGCTTTTGGTTTAGCAGTCAAGGTTGCTACACTTCCACCAAAAGTTACACCAAAATCTAGTAAGTATAACTTTCTGTTTTTATGTGAGCATACATTACATGCAAACATATATTTTTTTTTAAAAACTATATATCCATCCAATTGTGATGCTTGTTATAATTGATATTTAGAATGATTCGACATATTGATTGTTTGCACAGATATATGTAGCATGTTACTGCTCGTGTTATTATTAGTCATATGCCTATTAGTGTCGCTGCTAATATGATCAAAAGTATTATTGGTAGTACCAAAAATATTATCTTGTTACTGTTATATATATACATATATATTTCATTATGAGTAGACATTAGCGCGAAAACCGTTGAAAACTAAACATCAATAGATAATCATTTTGTTCTAGTTTGAAACTGTTAACCAATTCACACATAAAGCCTAGCCAAAAATGAATCTTATAATAAACACAATATTTTTTTAATGTGATGAACTGACAATTAATTGTTCCATACTTTTATATCAATCAATTTATTGTAAAGAGCTATAGACATTCATTGTCATATCTGATATAAATGATGCCTGATTTCAGTTTATGGAATAATACTAACTTTATATTTGAGAATTTTTTTTTTTTTTACAAGAATCCTGATTAAAGACAATATTCATTCATTAGACATTCTGAGATAGTTCATATTTATTATATTTAATGACATAAAACATCACCAGTAGGTTACAAATCATACGACAACAATCGGTACAACAATGAAGAAAATTTTAATTTGTTCTTTGGAATAATGTAGTTTTTCATTTCTTCATAAGAAAAAATCTGTTATTTATCGTGATTAATTTTTCCTTTGTAAACTTTCAAACAAATGTCATTACTAAAAGTTTAACTTGATAATTTCTCATAGATGAGGCATTGGTTAAATTGTTAATTGTAATAATTTATTTGCAAAGTCTTGCTTAAATAAGCCTGTTACCACTCGTAGAAGAGCATAAGCCATTCACCAGCATTCTTCATCCAACCCTGTCCTGGACAGTCATTTCCAGTTCTTTGCAGATGCTATTTCATTCCTTTGATGTCTGCTTTCAATTCCCGACGCAGTATGTTCCTTGATCTTCACCTCTTCCATTTCCCTTCGAGATTCTATGTTACTGCTTGCTTCGTGACAAAGATTGATCATTTCCTCAATAGATTTTCTATCCCTTTCCATCGTCTCTTCCTAACTTCCTCTTCAGCTGCAACCTGGTTTGTTCTCTCCCATAGTAGGTTGTTGCTGATGATATACAGTCGACGGACATGGAGTAATCTTGTGTAGACAATTGTTTATGAATACTTGTACTTTTCGATGATGATTGTGGTAGTTCTCCAAGTTGCAGTTCCGTACAGTAGAACTAACTGTAATTTTTTTTTTTTTATTTATTTTTTTTTTTTTCTTTTTTTTTTTAATGCATTCCTTCTTTTACTTCTTTTCAATAAATTAAAAAATTTTATTTTTTTAAAACTGTCTTGACGTTCGTACTAAAGATTGTGACTTTGTTATTGATTGATAGTTGTTTTGAGTTCCATATGTTTTTCAACTGTGGAAATACTGTCCTTGCTTTGCCAACCCTTTCCTTTACGTCGTCTGAATCAGATCTTCATTGTTCATAGATGGTGCTGAACAGGTAAGTAAAAGTTTTCACCTCTCCCAGAGTTTCTCCATCTAGTGTGATTGGTTTGGTTGGTGTTATCTGTGTTGTATTTGAGGATGTTGGTTTTTCTATTGTGTATGTTGAGGTCTACTGGTGCAGAGGCATTGTAATCCATCGTATGAATTCCAAATGATGTTGACAATTTTCTCAGTTACTGACACCACAATGTCGAAGACGGTTCTTCTGTCCACACTGTCAAACGTCTCATAATCAAGGAAGTTGATGTGTGGTGACGAGTCCCATTACATTGATTATTCAACGATGATACGTAGTGTCGCAACTTGGTCTGTGAACGACCGATCCCTACGGAATCCAACCTATTGATATCGAAGTTGGGCGTCTACTGAGTCTTTCATCCGACTCAACAACACTGTTGAAAACCTTTCGTGGTACTGACAGTAGTGTGATTCCTGTGTAGTTTCGACATTTGCTCAGATCTCCTTCCTTTAGTATCTTGATGCGGTATCCTTCTTTTCAATCTGTCGGTGGCCTTTTTTCTTCCTCCTAAATCTTTCTGAATAAAATGTGAGGCATGTTTGCAATTATTCCTATATCTGACTTCAGTACTTCAACTGGTACATTATGAGGTCTTACTACCCCCTCACTCTTGATTTACCTGGTGGCCATCCTGATTTGTTTGACTGTTGATGGCGTGACATGTATAGGGAGGTGTATGTGTTCTACTTCGATATCCGGTGGATTAGTGGAGCTGGTTCTTCAAATTACAAAATCTTAATCAACAGGAAATTAAATTTCTTATGCTTTGTGACTTAGTATAAGCCACTTCCTCATAGAATAAAGTAAATAAAAGAACTAAGTTTACACATGTTTAAATAGTACAAAAGAAAAAAGCCGAATATTTTTATTTCAACCGAAATCGAAATAAGTCGGATCATATCAATGACATGTTAATTTGATCAAGGTATTTTCCTATTTTTAATTACATTTCAAAATTTCAACGTTGAGATGGAAAAGGTACAGATGAAACGTTGAAACCTACCTAGACTTAGTTTTACCTTTTTTCCTTATCTATGGCTTAATTGTGTAGTTACAAATAAATTCAAGCTTCCAAATTAACAGGGAAAAGCTGTTGAATTTAAAAGTTATTCATTAACTAGAATAGTTGAATGGCAGAAGATAAAGCTATTGACTATGGATCAGTAATTCCGTCCATTCTGTAGAAATTAAGGAAGTTTTATACCAATTGAGTATTTATTTATTTACTTTACCTTATGAAGATATAACAAATAAACTACATTTTAATTGATCTGCATAAATCTAGATGAAAATATTGCTTTAACTGACTCTGTGAAAAGCTTAATTTTATCTTTATGGACGAGAAATATATTGAAAGCTCCATGATAAAACTATCGATCTTAGAAAGCAAAACACTATCGAAAGCCTGATCCTAAGCTATAAATATTCTCTATCATCCCACCCCATTTTGATGATAGCATTGTCATACGCTGAAAGTGAAACTGTAAACATTATTTCCAATTAAACTTCAAGAAAACGATAGCAACAATAATTATTAATATTAATATTAAATGAAATAAGACAATTCAATCCGAGTTAAGCAGCTTAGTTTCATCTAGAAGCACTGAAATTAACATTCCCAACCGATTAAGGAAATAAATTATCAGCGGTTCATCAAAATTTACAGTATTAAGAATTATATGTTAATGACAACGTATATAGCGGCTACATTTTGAAAAGTGTACTTCCTGTAAACAGAAAAAGTTACCTGAGACACTTATTTTTACCAATGAAGGAAAATTAACTATTGTACTTGCTGCCATTTTATATTTTGTATATGAAAAAGCGACTACTGTTTAGTTCAAACAAATTGTTCTTATGATTCAAATTCGGATTACTTCTTGGATTTCTGTCGTACGAATGCTTTTAGATAATGTCAATGTTGAATTCAGAAATATCGTTACTTATGTCGACTATTCCTATACAATCACATGATAAGTATATTTCATTTCTAGTCTTTACATTTATTATATTCTTCCATGCTCAGCACTTAATATCATTACCAGTGTTAAATATGTTGAGAAACTAACTTAGAAACGATACCTATTTTCTTATCGAAGGGCGCGTATAGCTCTCAGCACTTCGCTCTTATCACTGTAGAACATGGTCTTTAAAGGTAGAGGACAAAGGTGGGTTACTAGATTTAGACCAGAAATGCCTTCGTAGTGTGATTCACATATGACGGAACCATCGAGTGAATGATGATAAGATTAGGCTTCAAGCGCTAATTAAAGATAGCAAGTTGGATTAAAATGCTATATATCTTCATCTGAGGTGGTTGAGACGCGTCTTGTGTATATCCTGTCAGCACATCTTCTGACTCACAATATTGAACCTGACAAGAGCAGATTTTTGAAAAAGTTATGAATAGATATGCCAAGACAATGTCAGTTGATGAAATGTCAAGAGCTGCAAGCTCCTATGATAGCATCATTCTGATAATCATAATGTATAGTTGGACATGTCAGATGACTGCTCAAAATGTATTGAAATGAGCTAGATGTATTTATCCACAATCTTTTAAATCTTGTACCTCGTATGATTCTACATCCTTCATTCATGGATTAGCTCTTCAATGAGCGATTTTCCTTACGTCTACTTCATCATTTTTATTGGACTAAAGCACAAGTGTGCTGAGCCGTACCAATTTTCAATACAAGAAACATACATCTTACTCTGATTCACATGACTGATTTGAATAGAATTATTTTTCTATCACCCATTGGTATGCCTTTTTCTTTTAAACTAGCTATTTCAATGTTGACAACTTATTGTTACTCAATAGTCAATTCCAATTAATTTATCAGTAAGCCACAATTTACCTTTGTATCGCGTTGTAAATCCTCTAACTTACTGAGGTGCTGTAAGGCATAGTTTTTCACAATAAACAATGTTATTATAGCCTATTTTTATCATTGTTTCACGTTTTATGTTAATAGTTGCTTTTTATAAGTTTATATTCTTATAACTTATTAACTATTCGATTTGTATACATTCTATTATGTGAGCATTATAAGCCCAGTCTTAGTGATAAATTAATCTAAGTATTGGGGTGGTTTACGATCATGATAATTGATACGAATTGAGAAAGAATTAGGAATTTATCTCCAGTGTTTTTACTAGGATCTACAAAATAGACCTATAAGACAAAATACAATCGTAGTCCCGAAGTTGAAGAGTACCTGACATTACTCTACCAACTTTTCAACAAGAAAATTAATCATCCTTATTTCAAGCTAGGATACCTATCTGTTGTTTGCATTACCATGTGTTATAAGTTGAAAATGAAGAAAAAGTCATCACAAAAAACCAGATTTGTCATTACTAGTCTAACTGGTTATTGGTTCTTAATGTCCTGCATTCGTATTACTTATGGATAAACAAGTGTTTCTTGCTTAAGGTTAATTTGTTGTCACTTTTTTAAACACAAATGCTTATCCTCTAGACCACTGAGGCGGCATCTAACAATGTTAGCATCTAACTTCAACCAATCCACGATATTGAGTGACCGTTCGCCATTGTCTTTAGTGAGTAACTGCCTCACAACAGACTTAATTGAACTCTACTGGTCACGACTTCTCACTAGAACTCTAGGAAATCTATCTTGAAGCTAGTCACTAACATCGATCCATTCATGATATCAATCTGAACTTATCATTATTCCTTAATATATTATCAGTGTTATCTTTACTTTTGCTAAACTTTCTCACCTTTCAAGCTATCAAATGTTTTGACTTCTTTTTATTGTACAATGTAATCATTCAAAGTGAAGTACTGTTAGTAGTAGTAGTAGTATGTGATTCTTTTCTTCTTTTATTCATAATTTCTTCATTTCTTTTTGTAGGTTTTACCAAATTTGTCAGAAGCATTTTCAGTAAGAAAAATAAAACAAATTAAGATGATAAAGTTTTTTTTCCCTTAGTATTTTCTTTTTTTTTAACCTCCTCCAATTATTATCGTTTTTATTACTACTATTACTAGTATTATTCAAAATCTTTCCCATGACCAACTTCGCACGTTTTAAGGAAGATCTTTAACACTACGCTTGTCATTGTTCTCGTTATTGTTGGTATGATTGTTGATAATGATGATGATTTTAATGATGGCAATGTTGTTTCTTTATATTTGTTGTTGTCTGAATTCATAAAATCACTACTGCTATTGAGCACTTTCACTTCGAGAATATGTATTTGTCAGTTATTGTATACAATAATCACATTATTCTTCAACAGTTAGGTGCATTTTTTTCTGTCTGAAACAATAGATCATATGTCTATATAATTACATCTGCACGAAATATAATATAATTAATTCACATTATTACACCATGTATTAGCCACTGTCTTTATTTATTACCAAATGTCTATATACTGCATCTTTATTCTTTGTGCTATTGACTTGTAGTTCACATGAGAATATACTATTTTATTCTATTGACTTTAATGAAACATCTGCTAGCTATATGGTTTTTCAATGACTACTATTCAATATATTTTATACATTTACGTGAAATCTTAATTATAATTAGTGATTTCACGTGAAAAGTAGAATATTTAAAAATGTCTTGAAGTATTCTCTGAAGCTGTTCCATCTTCTTTTAATCAGTTTTGATGGATTATATGACACATTTTAAGGGGAACAACTGTTTGATTTATGTTTAAGCAATCTTTGTTTTCTAGCAATTCAATACACTATACACAATGTTGTTATCAATGTCTTGTTCTGATTGAAATTTACCCTCTATATGTGTATGTTTATCAGTTTAATATACTTAAACACTAAAATCACTGAAATTAAACAGAATAGTGATGATTAATTTCAAGTAATAAATCCATATTTTTCATTGCATGATATTTATTGTTTATTATAATTACAAACATTTTGCCTGTTCATAAAGATCCCATTTGTGAAACATCACTATAATGCATTAGAAATATCATTCGAATTATTTTTGCTTAACGATAGTTTTGACTATCATTGTATTATAAGTTCCCGCTGAAATATTTATTGATTTATGAAGATTTCAAACAAGTACTCAGATTTATTTTATTATTCTTTATATCAATGCAGCAATATATCAGCTACTATTGTCACATTGTAATTATTCACACACACACACACACTTCATTATGCATAAATTAATTTTGCATGTAGTAAGTTTTTTTTATTATAAACCCCTTAAAACATACTTTACACTACACTATTCTTGCCAATAAACTTTTTTTTTCTAATGGTTAGTTTGTTATATTCACAGCAATTTATACTTTAAATATAGTGGAATACTATTCATAGCATGCTTTAATTTCACCCAAAGTTGATTATGCAATTCTAAAAGGCATGCCAAACTTATTTGTTATTTTAATCTAAATAATAAATGTTGTTTTTGATTTTTATTGAGGAAGTAAACAGTAACCTAACATACATATATATAAATATGGAAGCATATATGTAAACTGATATTTACTGCCAAAATACATTATAAATACCTTTGATATTCGTACTAGTCTAATTTCGTAGGAATTGAATTAACAAATGAGAGAGTTAACGACGTAATCAATCATTAAGATAATGTAAAAGCAGATTTGTGAACGAAATGGCGTAAAAATTACTTCATATTACAGTGTTTGTAGTTATTGTTTTGCAAAACTTGGTCATTAGAACTATTGTTTTACGAAATAGTTTTTTAAAAAAAAATTCAGTAAAATGAAATGTCCTGTTTGTCAACGTAACATTTCATGGTATTAGTTGTAATAGTTAGTAATTTCCTATTGGTAATACTCTAGATTGCATCTGGTCGGTCTCTACTGTCATGTAAGCTCTTTGAATAGATGCCTTGACATTGTATTTAGCTGCAAACTGACTAACAGTTGGATCAAGAACATTTATCTAGTTTTATTCCTGACATCAATATTGTGCTAAACCAACGAATGTCAGATGGGGCGAAAATTGGAATCTGAATTTAGCTGTTAGTTACTCTGAATTATAATACCATTCTATGATAAGCAAAATCAAATTTGATCGTTTTACTTACTGTATGCTGTATCTATTTAAATTTATATTCTTTTACTAAACACATATAAATCTGGGACTGGATGTTAACGTATTTTGCTACTATATCTGAACAAATCGAAATCATAGATTTAAAGCATTAATCTAATTATATTCAACCGTTTGAAGTATTATTTTTGTTTTTACGTATGTAAGTCTTAGCAGTCTTTTTTTACTAAACCAGCATAAGATGCATTCTATTTCGGGAATTCAAATTGTTTACATTTACATTGTTTACATTTACAGACATCCAAAATTTTCAATGTGACATTTTCTTAATTTGCTTTCAAATGAGTGGAAATTAAGTCACATTGATTACTTTTTTGATGATATATAGAAAATCTCTTGGTAACTTACTGCTAAACAACTCCAGGTCCTTCTTTCATGTTTAACAATTAGTTAAGGTCGTAAATGATTCCTTACTATTCATTTGTGCCATATGTCCTTTCAGTAGGCAGAAAAAGGGTTATTCTGAGCCTGGTATGTATGGATTTCGATAACAATATCTTCTTCGTATACTGTACAGTCAGTTGCATTTAATTTGTAAATTCTAATGGCATAGTAGAATTTCAAACTTACAAATAAAAGTGAAGTACTCAACTTGTGCACATGCAGAAAAATCCCACAATTCCAACTGATTACTTGACGAAATATGATGTATGTTGTACACGTAAAGTAGATAAACACTTTTTTCATACATCAAACACCACAGCTGAATGTACTAGTATCTTAGTATTTGCATGGTCCAGGACTCTACACTTCGAACTCTGTAAGGTTTTCATTGTCTTCGTAGTACACTTCTAATATGCGCGTGTGTCATTAACAGGTGTAATTCTGTAAGAATGCTTGAATTGCTTATTTGAATCCATCAACAATAGATGGACTGATGTACATATTCCAATACTGCTTACAATATAAAACATTCAATAGTATCACACCGTATTATTTTATTGGATGATTCTTTTGGATACAAGTCAACTAAATGACTGTTTAGTAAATTCGAAATATAGTTTGAAAAGATGACTTATTTCTTGTTGTTTTTACAAGATTTTCTTAACATTTTACATTCTACTCTGAACGCATTTTGATTAGACAGTTGAAGTAGTTACGGTTAGTTATCTAAACTAAATACTGGAGAACATATTCCAATAATGTTGTTATTTATTAGATTCAAGAAATTTCTGCATATTATATCTCATACAATATCACAATTCTTTGGTTTTAATTTTTATTTTACTCTCTTTTTACTTAAATTATTTATTTTATAGATGATCTTCAATCTGAACTAGTTAGACATTATTTGATAGAAGCGGTTAATACACCTACTAAAGGTGTACGCCTTAAAGGTTTTGCAAGTGAACCAGTATTTCCAAGTTTAGCTGCCCTAATCAACCGACACACACAAGATGCTTTAGCATTACCTTGTCGATTAATTCTCCCAGCCATTCCAACTACACCGTTACCACATGGATATAAGCCTCCACCACAAATTGTAACTGGCTTACCACCGAATACTATGGATACAACAATAAGTAATCATATTTCACAATCGAATAATCAATATATTCCGAAAGTTGACAGTGCTACTGGGCCAGTTTCAGAATTAGGCTCTGTTATAATGGATAACGTGGAAATTGATTGTACAAAATCAGTTACCAATACTTCTACAATGGGTATAGAAGGTCTGCCATTCGAATGTGTAATTAAAGATGAACATCATAAACCAGTGATGTCGCAAAGTCTGCTTAATCAAGGCATGAGTAAGTTTTAACTCTCAATGTGATAATATTTTATTGAATGCTCTATTTTAAATTTGACTCAGTGCATTTGATTTCTAAAAAATTGGATATATTTATCAGGAATTATGATTATAGATTCAAGGAAACTTTCGTAAAAAATACTTCATATACAGACCTTAGAATTGCTAGCTCAGTAGTTATAGACATTCAAATAACGTTACTTAACTAACGAGTGATTTTCAGAGAGTATGGATGCGGCTTACATATCGTTTAAAGAATCTACACAGCTTTGTTTATGCATAATTTGAACATCTTTATCTAATTTAGTCAAGATTTATAGCTGATATGATTAGTGTATGTTATAAAAAAATATAAATTCAGATTGTACTTACAGTTTATACTTGTTTAGCTAAAACTCGCCGAGGAAGATTCATGTTTGCTTTTCAATTTCAAAACCCACGAAAGGTAGTTGAACACTAGAAATAGTAGAACAACGTGTGGTTGTATTTTACTTTGAAATTAGTTTTTTAATGTTGAAAGTTGATTCTAGTAAGATGGTGGTTGGAGGTAGTCAACAGGAAACCCTGGACCCAGGTTTCGTGCTATTTGGCACTCCTCAGAAAGGCGTACCTGTAATCTTGAGGGATATGACAATCCCTGACAGATTCAATCCCGTGTCACCCAGCTTCACAATCAGAGACGTTAACATCTTATCTCAACATAGTGCCCGTAATGTCGAGTCACCTAGACTAGTGGCTACATTACAACCTGGTCATTAGGATTCAGTCAGCACTAAGAAGGACCTGACACGCATGACATTGATCACCACCCATTGATCAATCTATTGTGAGCTGATTCTAGTGGTAGACTGAAGATGATTATCATAAAGTATTTCGGATTGACTTGGACAGTCTACAGTATTCAAAGGAACCCTAGGCTATGTCGCCAAATAATTGTAATTAGAACAATTCAACACTACTTCAACAATAACCATATCCTCATTAGTGACTCCTGCAACAGAACGAAACAGCTTTTTAATACATCTAATTTTCAGTGGTTTCCCAAAATTAATCCATGAAACAAACTATAAAATTGTTGTTAAGCCTTCCGAATTTAATATTGTTATCAGTAAAAATTACAGAATTCAGTACTACATAACTCCCAGACTATTTGCATTTTAATGCCGTTTAGAACCTGATAATATGTGAATTTAACGACATATATGTTACTTTTGTTCATTGGACAATATCTTTTCATCATGTTTGACTATAATAAACCATGCGTTATGAATTGATACCATTAGATGAAAAAACCTATGAAAGCTAGATAAAATTCCAAAGATTTGTTTCAACGTAGTATGAGACTGTTCAGTAATGTCTATCCATTAACTTGGAAGGATAGAAATGTGAAGATTTCAAATTTTGCTCCCAGTATTATACATGTAAATTATTGAGTAGGAAGTTACTACAAGGTTTACACTGACTTATTTTTCAAAGAAAATTATTGATCATCAGGGAAATTCATTTTAAACAATTTTAAAGTTGTCTTTGTACAAAGCTTGAAGAATGTTTCTGTATCTTCTTTCGGATACGAAAAATACTCTGAGTTTTAATAGAGAAATGAGTCAGAACTTCTCCAATCGTGCACACTACAGCTTTGATTTCAATTCTGAAAATCTGTCTTCGAATCTAAATGGATACGGCTTAACAGCTTGTTGATAGTGGTGAAATTAAAGGTCATATTCTGTTATAACTTGTGACCGCCGGTTAGAGAGCAGTGACTTATCGATCGAACCACGGACGCATAAACCCGTATGAGCAGCCTAGAGTTCTGATTGGCCTTGCTTGCCGCCTAGCCCAGCCAGTTAAGTTCAGAATACCAATCCGAGCCTCTGCGATATGAGTCATTATATTTCAGACATACTGAGTTTATATACCTATCAAACAGACCACAACGTACCAATAAAATATGAAACAACATCTGTACGAGAATTAGCCAGATGTGGCTGTGAATGAGGGAGGTAGTAATTAATATACTGGGTATAACTCAAGAATGCTAAACCTAGACTAAAAATAATATTACACTTTTCAGGATGTGCAGTTCCTTGATGTACTACGGTAGTTTGATTATAATCACAATAAAAGTTATCAGTCTACTGTGTGATGAGATTATGCAAAGCTTTTAATTGTGTTAAACTGCACACTATTTGAATGGTATTTGTAATGAAGGAATAGCTTTATTTATCTATAGTTCTTAGTAAGGTAACATTAGAACCCATGTTTATTTTTATTTTAAACCATCTCGTCGTTTATTTTAACACTTTATTTATTATGCCTTATCTCATTAGCTTCCATCTTCCAGTGCTTAATAATCTCACTCCTGATGCGCTTATTGTATTACCTTGGTATCTTCAATGATTTCTTTTAAATTATCTAATTGTGAAAAGATCAAGGTTATTTAACCAGTTTATCCGTATCTTTTATTCTTTTACGTACTTCAGCATATAGATGTTTCATGTTAGGATCAGTAGATACTCCACAGTGGAATAATGAACTATGTTTCTCAAGAGCAGTTGATCAATTAATTCCATTGGAAACTTTGACAGCATCTGAGTGTGATCATGGTATCAGTCGTGTTCGATATTCAGATATTCAATTACATGTTAGCGCACACGATGGAATTACAATTATAGATTTACTAAGACGGTTATTCCTTCGACGTCATCTTCCCAATAATATATTATTGTATTGTGGTATAGAAACTCGAAAAAAAGAGTAAGCATATTTTCTTAACAAAACATTCTGATTCAAATATATGAACAATGGATTAATAATGATATAGGAATGCTCCAACACTCATGAATATACAGATTAAACAAAAGAATAATATCATTTTATCATAATTGTGTACTTGGCTTTAGGGTACAATGTTTGTGAGAGAGTTGCTAATGCTACTACAGTGCTGAAAATCAATTGAGTGATCCAAAAGTTAAACCTGAAACCCAATGATTAAAACATTAAGATGCAGGTTTAAACTACACATTAATTATTTCAATTTGACTATCCACTTCATTTTACTATCTAACTCTCACACATACAAAAACAAATGTGACTTAAAGCCGAGTAAAAGAATCTGTTCTAAGTTGTTAAATTTTGTTATTAAAGTCTAATAATCACAATATATTATTGATGGTAGCTAACATCCAATGATGTTAATGTCTAACTTCAACTAATCCACGAAATTGAACGACACATCCACCATTGTCTTCAGTGAGTTACTATCTCACAACAGACCCGGTTAGATTCAGTGGCCTAGAGGTTAGGCGCTCGCGCGCGAGACCGATAGGTCCCGGGTTCGAATATCGCGAGGCGGTATTGTGGATGCGCACTGCTGAGGAGTCCCACAATAGGACGAAACGGCCATTTAGTGCTTTCAGATTTCTCATGGTGGTCCAGCTTCAATTGACTCATGCTCTCAACCATTAAAATTACTATAATACCCACAAAAACCTCTACTGAACATTATGTTTTTAAAAATATGAAAATTTCTGTCCAGAAATAAGATGACCATTACGCTACGAAGATTGAAAAAGGATTATACAGAGTGATTTTAATTAAAGAAAAACCTTAACAAGCCTGAAATGCTTACATTTTGATCATCTTTTCTTCAAATATTTATAAAAGATACAGAAATTAGATAATCTACCTGTCAAACTAAGCAAAAAAATATCAGTCAAATTCATTTTGTATTGTTTACTTGAACCATTGCACAAGTAAGCGGCAATCAGGACTCAGTAGCTAAGTGGATAACGCGATGGCGTCTGAAGCGAACGGTACTGGGTTCATAGTCCCAGAGTGAACATCGACCCTGAGATTAAGGTACATCCAGCTGAAGAGTCCCGAGTAGGACGAAAACGCGCGTCGTGGATTCCACTGCTAGCCACTATATATTCGTTTTTGCTTAGATATCAATCATTTCGTCTATTACAGTAAACTGTAATATTGGATCGTCTACATTGATTATAAATAAAATAATATTTTGAAGATGTAGAAATTTTTTCATGATGACTACTAATAAGCAGAAAATATTAAAATTTTCGAATTCTTTCTAACTAATAAAATGTATCCAAACTAAACTATTTATAACTCTTAGTTATTATCTTTTAATAACTGAACATTATATATGTAATGCCGTTGTAAATTACAAAATTATTAATCAGACTTTTCATTTTAGCAATTCCATGAAAATGTATTATACCCAGCGTTAATTAATTATCATAATACTTGATGATGTAAGCTGTGAAAATATTTCAAAAAAAAAAAATCTGATCTGTTATTCACCTCTTAGATACTCATCACTAATAACTAACTTATATAAATATTTCATGTACCTAAATTAATGGTTGCTCTAGTTGTCAGAAGGGACATCAGCCTCGTGACTTCCGAAGGAATCTGGCTTCCATTATGAAACGTCATAACTCTTCTAAATGAGAATATTCTAACTCCCAAAGCAGAGTTTAAATAGTTTGGATTAATTCTTTTGGTTAGCGTTTTTTAGCGAGTTAGTTTTCTACGGAATGGGATCGCTAACTTCATGGCCAACCTTTTTCCTTTATCCGGGCATGGGACCGGCAGTAGCCCAGAGGGGCTCCATGTAAAAGTTATATATATGTATTTGTATTATTGATTTTGCGCAAAATAAAGTTGTTTTTTTTTAAAAACCAACTTTAGATTTATTCATCCCGAACATCAAAATCATGGTATACGGAATCCTAAGTGAGTTAATTGTTTTTATTTTTTTGTTTTTTCTAAAAAGAAAAAATATATACAATTCTTACTTCTATATATTTGTATACGTGTATTTGTGTAATGTAATCTAAACATAAGAACCAATTCAGTGAATACTTGTTCATAAAATAATAGATACTTCAATGTTAGAAGATCAAATATAAAATAAATTCGATATTGCAGAGAATCAAGTTATTTTAAATACATACACACACACAAAATGCAACTATTTAATAGTTGTCAATTAGTTACTAGTTTTACAATGGATATTGATCTATGAAAGAAGAAACACCGATTAAATCCTTGAAATTATTGATTAAATTTCATGTAATTATATATTCAATTGATCTCGTGATAAGTAAATAGGGTTAGCAGGTATTGATTTTCAATATTTATAACTCTGATTTCAATTAGTTTAATTCGTATGATCATATTTTATGTTTCATGAGATATTGACTACAATTCACTTAAGGAACTTTCATTGATTTACATAACAATAATAATAATTATTATTATTGATCGATCTACAATAATAATTCATTTATATTTATTGCTTCTCTCAGCAACAAAACATTAACATAAATCTAATCAGTAAATGTTTATAAAGATAAATCATTTAAATAAGTCATTCGGTTGATACATTGACCTAGTTAATCAGAACGATGTAATATATATATATATATATATATATATATATATATATATATATATATATATAATGAGGTTAATAGCAAACTATTCACATTTATTATATGTAGAAATTATATTTGAAATAATCTCAGTGATTGAAATTTAAAATAATTCCAACGTCTTGTCCAGCTAACTTGTCTGGACTTCTTCAGGTTAGTAATCAAAATAAAAATCACAATCAAGACTATACTGTGTTAAACCAATCATATTTGGATGTGTTTCATGTCACCTTATGTGTTACATCAAATAAATTGTTAAGCGCTTTGAAATAAATCTAAATTAGCATCATTATCATGAAATGTAATTTCCATATTCTTAACTTATTTATAAATAACTTTGAAATTTTGATTCTGTTCGTCATTTTAATTCTGTACTATTGCGAAATGTACCAAACGGTGTTTCAACTACACATGTATAATAACCATAATTAGCCATAGTTAAATTAGCTATAAACAAAGTTGTTCTGATTATTCCATGTTTAGAATTTGCTTTGTCTTAAAACAAACAAGAAAGAAATGAGTGAAAGCAAAATCATAAAATAAATATGGATTTCATTATGTGTGAAAATTATATTTGAAATAATCTCAGCGATTGAAATTTAAAATAATTCCAACGTTTCGTCCAGCTAACTTGTCTGGTCTTCTTCAGGTTAGTAATCAAAATCGAAATCACCAAAGAAATATATAACTTTTCAACAAGCATAACTATACTATGTTGAACCAATCAAATTTGGATGTTGCTTTTTGTAAAAAATGGGATAAAATGAGTCAGTTAACTACAAATCATGTGAAAAAATTCAACTACATGAAAATAATTTAACACAGTATAGTTTTGATTGTTAAAAAGTTATATATTTCTTTGATGATTTTGATTTTCGTTATTACCCTGAAGAAGTCCAGACAAGTTAGTTGAACGAAACGTTGGAATTATTTTAAATTTCAATCGCTGAGATTATTTCAATATAATTTTCACATGTAATGTCTTCTGTATACTCGGCGCCTAATTTCTGTTAAACTATTTGTTCTAATCTTGACGAATATTCGTATAAATATATTCACATTTATGTTCTAATGGCCTTTTTTTAACTTATAGAATCTTTGGATTAGTTGTTCGTAAAGGAATTAGTGAATGTACATGTCATATATTTTCTGAATGTGATCCAGTTCATTCAGCTGAATCTATTGTGAATTATATACGAACTATCTATCCTCATTTAAAGAGTTAATTTTAAAATTAAAAATGAAAATCATTCATTAAACTAACTATATATTAAAATATTAATATTATTCTATATTAATAAAGATATTTCCATACGAAATGATAATTATTATCTATATTATTATGGATAGAACTATGATGTATTTCTAACTTGGATGCTTTTGTTCTTTTTTTTGTTTTCCTGTTAAGATAAATTTTTTGTGTGTTTTGTTTTAATGAAATTATGAAGAAAATATCTTCGTGATTTTTTTTTCTAGTTTATTTATTTTAACGTACCCTTCATCAAATAACTTATTGACTGCATGAACCATCCATTTGTTTTCTTTCTTCTTCTTTTATGTTTTGTATTACTTCTCATTTATTTCTTTGAAAATTTATCTCTGTTTAACCTGGTTAAAAAATCCATAATTTATCCATGATTGAACATATACCAGAACTATCCTTTCTTCATAATTATATATATATATATAAAAGCGTATATTGATCATATTATCTTTAACATTATGTAAGATAAATTCATTTGTGATGCGCCAATCATTTTTCGTAGTATTCTATATCAGACCCGTTTATCATTCAATGACACCATTGAACATTTCTTTTTGTTTTATTTAATAGACAGCTATATTACTTTTTGAATTTTTTTTTTCGTATTTCTTATAAATTTCTTGATTGTTTAAGATTAAAGAAAATCTTTATGAATTTCTTTGTCTTAAACCATTTAATTATTTTAATAATTTTTCAACCTTTCTTCGGTTTTTCTGGTTTCTTTTGATTTTTAATTAGATTTCAAACAATCCCCCATCTGTTTTTTTTTTCGGTTTCATTGATTATCGTTACTGTTAATTCCTTTTTCTTTTCTTTTTTGAACAGTTTCATTTCTTATTTATATTACAAATTTCGATGGTTTTCCTGTCGTGCAATGATTATTTACGGCTATTCGTATTCATATTTACTTAAAGTGATTTTTCCTTCTTGAAATAAATGAATATTATTTCAATAAATCATGTATTCAAGACAATTTTTAATAAGAATCTGATAGTATTGCAGTCAAAATAGATATGTCTACATGTATGCTCAAATGTATACATTTTATGTTGGAAAATAAACAAAAATATCTTTATTTAATTGAATTCATGTACGTATTTATAATTTGTATAAATATGTACGATTACATAAAATTATGTAATATTTTCTGGGCTTTAAAAGTTTATCTTATTCGCTCTTGTTACTTATAAGTAGTATAAATTTTAATATTTAAAAAAATAAATGCTTCAGTTAGCATTAGGGATTAGTCTTGAAATTCCCATTAAATCAATTATATATGTTGTTTATGCAGCTCTAAATCCTTTCATTCAGATATGACACAGCTAGGTGAAAGGTTTTACAAATGAATTCCAGTTTATTCACCACACATTTATCTTTATATAACTTACAGTCGAATTTTTTTTAGCAAAGATGGACAGTGGCTAGCAGTGGAATCCAGGACGCGCGTTTCCCCTCCTATTTGGGACTCATCAGCTGGATGTGCCTGCATCTCAGTATGCACATTCGCCAACATGAGACTGATAGATTGCAGTGTTAATAACAATGACACGATACAAATAAAACAACACCAAATGAATTTACAGTCGAAACGTTTCAAGATTTTTCTCCATATTGATTTTGTGAACATCCCAAATTGTATAATCAGTTGGAGAAAAGAATTAATGTTGAACACAGATAAAAATTGGTTAGTCTTAACAACTGTAAACTCAAATACTAACTTCATAGCAATGAAAGATTTGAATTAGATTACATATGAAATTCTCGGGTAATATTGGATAAATATGCCCTATTTTCCGCTATCAAAATACCATGGATGCTAAATTATAGAGTGAGACGAAGAAAGAAAATGTACAGTTTAGATATTTGGTATTCAGTGAATTGTATCTTCTTAGATTTAAGGTGCACTTATCATCTAGTTCGGTTGATGATATTTTTCTTCTATCTTTTATAAATCAAAGTAACAGTTAACTATGAATGTGTTACCCACACACCATGATATAAAACTTAAGCTACATCATTGTGACTACATATTGTTATAACGGTTGGGTTTCCTTCATCCTTATGAATGGGGCGTTAATTTGCCTTAGACGAATATCTACACTAGATTCCCGCCCCGTGTCTATTCTGCAGGACTTAAACACAACTCATATCAAGAACACGTGATTAGCCTGACTAGAACGTGGATATATTCCCACACCAAAAACCGGCAACAATCCGAAACAATCTAACACTATAAATGGTATGAATAAGAATAGCAGAATATATAACTCATCTAACGCCTGTTAGACTATCTACAAGTCTGACTTAACAAACAACCAATCATTATCATCCTCGCCCATGCATCACATGTGTTGTGGTTTAAAGTATTACAAATTAAATTTTTAACTACTCATTTGATTTCTGCCTAGCTGTTTTAATAGGAGGTTTAGATAGATGTGAATAAATAAGACATACATTAACAGAACCTGCGAACTGACTGACATTACTGTAGACTATAATAACAGTGCTGCTTTATAAAAACACATATCATTCAAATGCCTTTATAATTGTTGTTTTTGGTCTCACGGTTATTCTTCCGATTATTTCACTTAAAATCAACCATGCCTATAACCAATCATAATTATTCTTTAAGTTACTTAATGTATAGGAACAACTGTTTACAGTTCTTCGCACACCTAAACGACCAAGCTTAGTTTCCAAACATTAGGTCTTTTAACATTATCCAAAAGGACTTTTGAGACTTCTAACACCTGCATCACTATTTAAGTGGTTATATGGATCGTATTAATTTACTATAGGTACGGTGAATAGATTTTGTGGAGATTGTTCCATTTGATAGTTAACATCATAGACAACCATTAAGAAATTGCTAAGGAGAAAACGGCCGTCCAGTGCTTCTAGGTTTTCCGTGGTGGTCTAACGTTGATCGGTTCACTATTTCAAATGAAACTCAACAATCTCCATAACGCAAAACTGATAATTTCACTGTTATTCGAATATCTAGTGGAGGGTGAATGAATTAGACATCAATGCATATGCTGTTCAGACTGAATTACATTTTCTACAAACGGAATCATTACTTCGGGTTCAGTAGAAGCCTACGAGACAGAGTTCTGGTTTACAAAAGCAAATTAGTTCACAATTTTAAGCAACATATTGAGCTCTTTTTTGCATTAAAAACTCAATCAGTCACTCTTAACATTTGAAATGATCGTGTAAATTCTCTGATATTATTTGAAGTGATAAGTATCGAGGGTATTACTGCCTTTATATTCAACTAACGACTGTTAAACAGAAAGAAATATTCATTCAAAAATGCAAGTTCTAATCATCATCAGAGTATTTGGCATTTTCTCTGTGGAGATTATGTCAATTTACTCAATCCTTACTAGTCGGCAATGAAATTCGAACATTGTTTCAATGTTCATTTGCATAGACTCAGAGAGAGAGATAGAGAAAGTAACTTTTATTACTCATTTTCATTTGTTTATTAATTAAGTCCTTGTAAGATGAAACCCATCTAGAGTGGTAAAGCGAAGAATACTAGACTGAATTCTTAACTAAAAATAAGGTCAGATTAGGTCATGTTTGTTTTGAACTAGTCAAGCTGTTTATCTTATTTGTTAACAATAATAATAATAATAATGATAATAATAATAATAATAAGAAGAAGAAGAAGAAGCAAGCATAATAGCAGTAATAATAATAATAGTACATATATGGTACTTAATCTTAATTGACCTAAAGTTAGCAGCGAAGAAACAAAATACATTTTCTTATCAAATACAACCCTTCACCAGTAGTGAGGTAACACAAAAGCAACTGAATAGTATTTATTTTAATGGTTTAGGTGTTATATGGGCTTTATGGTTTCATTTTAAAATCAAAGACCACATCATAATTTAACCAATAGGATACAATCGAGATGAAGGACTAGATGCACATGATATCGACCAATACTCTGATTGCTCAGTTGTAAATATCGCATTCTTACAGATCAATAAAACTAGATTCCTCGGATTTGATTCCTACAGTATCAATCCCTCCAAGATTACAGGTAAATCTTGTTGACTAATGCCAATTAACAGGAAACCTAGACCGAATTTCTCACTGACTAAATTCAATCACCCTTCATCTGTTCACATTTTTCATACTCATCAGGCACTGATTATATTCGAAATTTGGCTATAATACTTAGCTTATTTGATTAAACTGATTATCGAATTGCTGAGTGATAGCTTAGCTGGTAAACACATACTGTTTGTAAAAGATAGCAGATAGTAGAGTATATATTTAAAATTAGTATGTAAATTTATTCAATAAGAAAAAAACAGTATTTTCGAGTGCGGATAGCGTATTGTACTTGAGTTAAAATAAATGATGTTAGACATTCGAATTCTTGTCAAAGAAGCAGGGTTCGAATCCCGCGAGCAGGATCGTGGATGCGCACTGCTGAGGAGTCCCACAATTGGATGAAACGGCCGTCCAGTGCGTTCAAGTTTTCAATGGTGGCCTGACATCAATCGATTCATGATCTCAATTATAAGAATCAGGCGTTGTTTAAATGTAATAACCCCTATGAAACTGTAACCACTCGTTTATTATTTTGAATAACCAAGATATTGATTGTAAACAAAGTCGATACATCTGCACATTGAGTAGACGATCAATTTAATTCGGTCAAAGTTAATAAAGTTACCTTCAAAATTTCGTTCGATATTCAGTCAAATAATTAAATATAAATTAATAATTTGAGTTGCTCTAGTATGAAAGTGAAAAGTTGACAAATAATTTTATTTGATATTAGAAATAGTCTTAAAAAATCACATGGTTACATCTAGGAAACAGCTCGTGAATCAGAGAATTTTATTTGACAGAATTAGACTGAGATGAGAGGATTTCTAAGAGCCGATTAATCATTATGTTTGGTTAACAAAACTTCACACATTATTCTGTTTAAGG